CCAGTGGGAGACGACGACGACGACGACGACGGGGCTCCGAGGCTTGTGCAGAGTTGCAGGGAGACGCCCAGGCTCCGGGAGAGCTGCTGCGCCTTCCCAGGTCATGGGTCTTTGGGCGATGCTGACCCCTTTCCTGTTTGTGCAGCGGCCGTCCCGGGCGAGTGGAAATCTGCGCGGGGCTGCATTTCCCACGGAGCACGTTCGGGGTCGTCTCCCTGTTAGTTTAAGCATCCTCTAGGATGGCCTTAACAGCCCATTTATTTAATACATTCATAAAATCACACCCCTCACCATGGATAGAACCAAGAAGCGGGCTCCCCCCCGCGATCAGGGCCCCGGGCTTGATGGCAAAGCCACGTTTTTCATGCCTTGCGAAAGGCCAGCAGGGTTGGGGCACGTCTGATCCGGGGGTGGGGGATGAAGAGGAGGAGGAGGAGGAGGAGGATCACGCGGGTGGAATAGCTCTGCCGAGTATAAAGAGGATCCAAGACTGGAAAAGCTGAAGGGAAAAGGTGGTCAAGACGGGGGTTCCTAGAAGAAGAGACCCCAAGCACACATTGCAAATAGTTCCGGGGAGAGAAGATGGGAGACAGCCGAAGCAGTGGGAGGGAGCCCCTCTAAGTTTCGGTTTGGTATGATTTTAGCGTTGTGTTTGGTCTTTCCGGCAGATTATCCGTCTCTCTTCTGCCTTTTTCATTGCTTAAAGCAGGGTTCCTCAACCTCAGCCCCTTGAAGATGGGTGGACTTCATCTCCCAGAATTCCCCAGCCAGCATCTTCAAGGGGCTGAGGTTGTGGAACCCTGGCTTAAAGCGCTCAGAGTGGTCTGGAGTTGAGCATGTGATAGAAAGAAAGAAAGAAAGAAAGAAAGAAAGAAAGAAAGAAAGAAAGAAAGAAAGAGAGAAAGAAAGAAAGAAAGAAAGAAGGAAGGAAGGAAGGAAGGAAGGAAGGAACTTCCTTCCTTCCTTCCTTCCTTCCTTCCTAGAAAGAAAGAAAGAAAGAAAGAAAGAAAGAGAGAAAGAAAGAAAGAAAGAAAGAAGGAAGGAAGGAAGGAAGGAAGGAAGGAAAAAGAAAGAAAGCAAGAAGGAGAAAGAAAGAAAGAAAGCAAGAAAGAAAGAAAGAAAGAAAGAAAGAAAGAAAGAAAGAAAGAAAGAAAAAGAAATCTCTTTGGGGAGGTCAGAAAACCAACAGATCCACATGGGAGAGAGGAAGAAGAATGGATCACCAAGAAAGCAATATTCATAGCCTGGAATGGTAGAGAGACCACTGTGAAACCCAAAGCTAAGAATGACGTACAGATGTTATAACAGCTGCTCCATCAGAAGTGACAAGGAAAAGGAAGGGCATTTCTTTGCCACCTGTTGGCTTCCAAACCCGATTCTTTGTGACCCGGGCTTTTCCCATTCGAAAGGTAGAGCGCATTCGTAAGGGCGTTCACAAAATGGCCTGTTATTAGTAGGCTGGAAAGCCACAACTCTTTTTAAATTGCAGCTGAGAAAAATGCAATTTGCCCGAGGGCCTGAGTTCGAGGCAGAAGTCAGGTCTATGCTTAAGTTTCTACTCCACTTTGCACGTGTGTGTACGCACACAAAAGGATGAGCTTCAGAGACAACTAAGAAGAAAGCCAAAGAAGTTATAACTATCGGATGGACTTGCAGAATCCAAGTGAAAGAGAACTTGCTTGATGAAGTATTAAAACATTTTAATGTGTTCGGGCTTTAAAACTGCATTGCACTGCATAAGTCAACTACCTGAAGCATTCTAAAGCCCCAGACCTGTGGATTAAAGCAAGCAAAAGTACATGAAAAAAATTAATATTTGTTTAAATCCGTCAGTTGCCTAGCCCTGCTTTAAGAATTCATCTAGGGCTGGCTTCCAACCCATAACCTTTATCTTCTCACCTTTCGACATCCGCTAACGAGATTTCATTTCAATCATCTTGGAAACATTCAGAGGAGCAAATATTTTGGAGTTTTCCTGATGATTTTTTTTTCCTTCCAGTTCTCAGTTGGGTGAAAGAGAAGCGGCTTTTGACATTTCTCTCAAAGGATAAGAGAATTTCACTGCACTTGGGTTACAAGGGGACCAAGGGTTTTGTGGGAATCTCTTCTCTAATCCTCTCTCCAGCAATTTGCAGCCTCCCTGGCTTTCTCAGAGGCAAGAAAATCAAAGCCAAGTCAAAGCAAGAAACTGCTTGGAGGGGAGGGGGTGTCTCCAGATTGGGAATGCCGGGCAGGTAGGGAGGTGTCATTGTGATGAGTTATGTGGCATAAAATGTCACCTGTGACACCCCCACCAACAAAAAGATAGTTCATAATTACCAAGGGCAATTTCAAAGCAACAGTCAAGCTCTGTAAAAGAGAAAAGAAAAATAGAAGCTTCACTTGCAGGGTAAGAACATTTCTTACCTGTGGTTTCTGTTCTTGTTTTGTAGAGAACGAAAGGGAGGGTATGAAGCGTGAAGGATGATTTGCAAGGATAGAGGGGTCTAGAAAGGGACAGCAAATGGTGTAAATCTTCCCCACCCCCCTGCATAAGATTTCTTCCATGAAAAGGAATGATCAGATGGATACGTATGTCTTGCAGAGAAATTTGCAAGGCGGAGATCAACACAGCATCAAATTCATTTGCCTTTGGGCTGCAAAGCAGGAGTGTTTAAGGACTTTAGATTTGGTTCAGAGAGGGGAATCCTGCAGGCTTAAAACACACAGTCTGTGCTCCGTCTATTCCCAAACATCTTCATCCCATGACTCAACCTCTGCCCTGGCTTTCTCGCTGGGGACATACACGTGGAGCTCCATCTTTGGTCTTCTAATCTGGGGTAGCAAAGAGGGGTCTCTGTGCCACGGGGGTCTGCAGTTCAGCCCAGTGATGGTGAAATCCTGCATGGTGTGGTGAGCGACTCGGGCACAGCCGCGCTGCTTGGGCCCCTGCAGGACATCGCGGCTGGCTTTGCAAGGACGCCCCGGCTTTGCAGCAAGGCGGACGGGTTTAGAAAAGTGAAAGTAGGTGTGCTTGTTCTTCAAGCCGTTGTCCAAACTCATGTTGGAAGAGGGGCAGTTCCAGCAACCATCTCTTCTCGGTTGAATTCTTGCCCCAGGAACCTTGAGGGAAAGTAGTTTACTCTTCTCCTGGTCTTGGGAACTTAAGCCCCTGTTCTGTTTTGAAAATGCATTTAAAAAAGAAAAGTATCAGGACTCTTAGAAGGCCTGCTAGACATCTCCAGTGTGATCGTTCAGTGCATAAGAGACCATTTGATCAAGTATAATTAAAAGTATGGGATAAATAAAAAAAGGCTAAGCCTAGTCTTTCTCTTCAATAATATTTTCATGAAGGCAACCAGGCTAAAAAATTGGATCAGCAAAGAGATAATTCACATATACTGCAAGATTTAACCTTTAATGAAACCAAGATGAAATCTTTCAAGGTTTGGAAACACCTTGTTGATTTTGCTGTCTTCAAGAGTGGTTCCAAAAGCCAGTTGGCATACTCGAGAGAGATTTGCAGGGTTTGTAACATAAAACTCAGAACCTCTATTAGGGCACATATGTAAGTAGCAGCCAAGAGATGATTCAGAAACAAGTCAAAGGTTGCATGATTAAATGGATGCATAATGTAAACAGGGCAGTTGATCGTGTGTCTGCCTCTCGGGGCAGGCCAGATCAAGAAACAGGTATGGCAGGAATTATCGCAGGGTAGAAAAACAATCTTGAAAGCCCATTTGATGTTCTCTCTGGCTCATCTGATACCAAACAAAATCAAGGTGGGATTATTCTGATTTTCCTTCCCATGCTTTCCTCTTTTTCAGGATTGATGAATCTTTTCTGAAAGCCCCCCCCCCCCCAATAAGTTTGTTCAGTCCGCCCTTCCCAAAGCCAGGTCCATTTTCCATCACAATATGAAACTGTGGGAATATCAGTGGAAGACAAATAGCCAATTTATTTCTCCAGGCGTTGATTGCCAAAATGGATAACATTTTTTTTAAAAAAAGTGAAAATATAGCAATTGGGGGGAATCATTCACCGCATATCAGGTGGTGTCACAAAGCTCAGAAGCACAATATCTGGAGCCTTTTCAGTCAGGATTCAGACCTGGGTATGGAATGGAAACGGCACTGGTCGTGCTTTGGATGATCTCTGGCGAGGGCGGGATGAGAGTTTTGCACCCATCCTTGGCCTACTTGACCTCTCTGCGGCTTTTGATACCATTGATCATGGTATCCTTCTGGATCGGCTAAGGGGACTGGGGGTGGGCAGCACGGTGTTGTCCTGGTTTGCCTTTCTCCAGGGTTGATTTCAGTGGGTGGTGATTGAGGAAGACCCACCCTTGGCCCCACTACATGATTCAATGCTCTCCCCTCTTCTATTTAACATCTACATGAGGCCGCTCGGTGAGCCCATCTGTCATCATGGGTTGGGGTATCATCAATATGCTGATACCCAACTATATATCCCTGGCAAATTAAGTGACGCCATGAACATCTTATCCTGGTGCTTGGAGGCTGTGAGGGTCTGGATGGCAAACAGAGGCCTCAGCTGAACCCTGGCAAGACTGAGTGGCTCTGGGTTTTGGGGCCTGATTCTAGGACTATGCCATCTTTGGTGCTGGATGGGATGGTATTGCCCCGATAGACCCGGTGCTCAGTTTGGGGGTCCTCCTAGACTCACAACTGAAGAGCAGGTGGCAGTCATGGCTGGGAGGGCCTTCGCACAGCTTTGTGTTGTGCTCCAATTGCACTTTCCTGGAGCAGGCGGCTGCTCGGTCGTGCCTTAGTCACCTCCAGATTGTACAGTAATGCGCTCTACATGGGGCTGCCTTTGAAGAGTATCCAGAAGCTTCAACTTGTGCAGAATGCAGTGACATAGGCGGTTCCGTGTGCTCCTAGAAGAGCACATATTACACCTCTGCTCTGTGAGCTGCACTGGCTGCCAGTCAGCTTCTGGGTCCAATTCAAGGTGTTTTTTCTTCACCTTTAAAGCCCTTCTCAGCATGGGACCGGGTTATCTGAGGGACCACCTCTCCCCAATCACATCAGCCTGCCCTATTAGATCTGACAGAGAAGGTACATTGCGTGTACCATCTGCCAGGGACTTACATTTGGCAGATCACAGGAGACAGGCCGCCTTTACCATGGCGCCCACCTTACGGAACATTCTCCCCACCTACCCACTCCAAAATTAGGTTAACTCCATCCCAGCTATCATTTTAGAAGTCCAAGACCTGGTTATTCTGACGGCTTCACTGTGACTATTTTGCTATGCATGTGGGGTATATTTGAATTTATATTTTTAATGTTTTAACATATCTGTGGTTTTGATTGTTGCATGCCACCCAGAAAACTGAGGCAATGGAAATCAAAAAATCTTGCAAATCCAGGTGATTGCTATTCCTCCAGCCCTTGCCTGTTATTTGTAGCTTGGCTGAGTCACCTATTTGAAACTAAGGGTGCCAGTGGAAGCAAACTTACCTGGGGAGATCTACTGCAAGTTCCCAGTAATCCTGGAAAGCATGGCTGGTAATGATGGGAGAAGCATGCAGGCAGATACGGACTCATGGAGGCCCTCCTTGTGCCCCCCAAAGCAAGTTGGGTACCGTACTCCGTCTTCATTACAATCTGATAAAGGATGCAAAGAGCAAGAGCGTCTGCCCTTTTGTGAATTCCTCCAGCTGCCCTTTCTTCTAGCTCTTCAGAGTCTAAGCTGACACATAAATAATTCAAGCTCGACCTGCGCACAATATTCATCCGCAACCGAATAGGGTTGGTTGCCTGGCTTTGTGAACAGGCGTACTTTCACTTACAGGGAAATGATGTAACACAAAGAAACGTTACGTGGTTTGGGAGAGACTGGGAGCAGGAAGGTTTAAGGCAAGGCATAGAAACTTTCAATTTATCTGCCATCAGCAGAAGTACAATAGAGAGCCAGTTGGTCTGTTTGTGAGCCAAGAAATTTCATGTTTTGTTTTTTTTTTAAAGGGAAGCCTTATGAAATATGATTCTGATCATTTAGCAGGGACACAGAGCTTCCGGTTTGCTAGAGAGAATAGATTTCTGGCTGCATTTCAAACTTAAGTGAAAATTAAGCACACATTTAGCAGTTTTCAAAGCAACATCAGGTATGTATGAATGTAAACTAATATAACTTGAATAAAGGATCCTTTTCAACACTTCAACTGAATTCAGGATCCAACATGATTCACTGACTTGATTCAAGTCAGTGTAGTTCAAATGGTCTATTTCTATACTGCTATTCTACCACCATTGTGGTAGGGGATGGAAACCCAAGGCTTATATTTAAAAAATAAAATGTCCAAGGCCTTATATTAGGGAATAAATAGTTAAGCAGGCTATTTGAAATTGCTTCTAATCCTCACACTGGATTAGATAATGAATTACAGGAATATTGAGAAAGGGCCTGGTTGAATGCTAGAAACAGGAAGACATTTCAAATGTGAACTTGAGGGTTACAAAACATTGCAGAAATAGCAAAAGCCACTAGGGGCTAAACTCTCCAAAATCAATGCAGCTTGTTTTTAACATAATTCCAGGATATCTACTAAAGAGTATAACTGCTTATAAGGAACATTGTTCTGGAGATGAAGCAGTTAGACATATTTAGTGCATCAAATTCACTCCCACCTTCCTTCTGATATTTCAAATGAGCACCAATTATAGATTGTGAGCTTTTTCCAAGAAATGACACCAGATCTTAAGTTCCTGAACACTTTATTGAAGATTTGAAGGAAATGTTACTGCATCCCTGGACTCCTCCTTTCCGCAATCAAATCTACCATTCTTCTCCTGCAATAACAAAACATTAGCGATTATACTGATCAGCAAGACATCAAGATTTTTATAGCTGAATTTTACTGCTGCTGCATCCTGCTTTAGATTTTTATCCCACCTTTGTTTTTGGCCAACTCAAGAATGCACACATACCTAATGTTCCTGCTTTCTATTTTCCCCACAGAACCATCTTGTGAGGTGGGTTTGGCTGAGAGAGTGACTAGCCTGAAGCCACCTAGCCAGCTCTCATACCTAAGGAAGGACTAGAACTCAAAGTCTCCTCGTTTCTAGTCCAGCACCTTAGCCAGCATACCAAACTGGCTTTAGCACATTAAATGCAAATCAAGACTTGACATCAGAGTTACATTCAGAGAGTCAAGACACTATCAAAAACAAACACTGAAAATTCATTTTCAATGGAAAAAAAGACCTGCAAGTGTTCCCATACAGTAACTGGGATAAAAGCCAAGATCAGACTAAACCTGGATTTGGATTTGATTGCTTGCAACCATGATTTTGTGAAATCTGGATCTGGATCAAGCAAGAAACAAAAAGGTGGACCAGCACTGTCACATGATTTTATGTGAATAACCGTATCCATACACTTCTCTTCTACCTGGAGAACCTGACAGGTGCTCCTTAGTATGTCTACTGCAAACTGCTGTTACATGCAAGTCATAAAGATTTAGAAAAAAATGTTTGTAAAAATGAACCACTACAACCAGTGGCTCCTTTCATGTGCAGCTTGGCTACAGAGAATGAGAGAACTGGAAGAGGCGTTCTGACACCAGAGCCCACCTCCTGCATCGATGCCTAACCAACGGTTATCCAGCTTCTACTTCACCATGTCCACAGAAAAGGATCCTCACCACCTCTAGTTCTACCAGCAAGCTGCTTGTACTCTTAAACTCGCCACCCAGATTCACCTGGTGGGAAGGGTGGCCATACAGATTGAATGAAATGAATGAACAAACCCTTCAAACTTTCAGCAAGAATCTACCACCCTGTTCCTTACCTACAAATTGTGCAGAGTAGGTACACTTCTCTCTAGATCATTCAATTGTGTTGGCATATACTGGCCATTGCTCAACTGTAAAAAAAAAAGTTTTAATTGTAACATGGAATACGTTAACAGGCTGTGTTTAATTTAATAACATCTAAAGGTTAATAATGACTTTCATTATAATTGGTTTATTGTAGAATGCCTTTTTAGGCAGGAGACTTGAGTTTCACTCACTTCTGTAAGGATCCAGTGATTCTATATAACTTGCAACTGACCCTGTACGTTTCCAATAAATATTAAATTTAAGAAGAGTCAGTGAAACAGAACACAGAACTACCTGCAATTAAAAGATCTGATGCTTATCTAGTTCTATATCCATCCTATGCAATTTCTGATTTTCCAGGAAATAGGTGTCTAACTTTTGTGACACAACCGAGCAGTACAGCACCAAGATACATCAGGCAATGCCTTGCCAGAATTGAATCTGCCCATCTGGGTATGGAGAAAGGACTCACAAATGTTCCCTCCCTCTGTGAGCCCTGCAGAGCAAGGGGAAGATGGCTGTAATAGTCCCCAGCTGATGGAATACTTTCACATGCGCAGACTTCACCTTGTCGCATTTCCAGAAACAGGGAAAAATTGATTTCAATGTGCTTTTGATCCCAGCTGTCTGATTGTGGATGCCTATCTAGGGTTTGATTTGGGATTTATGTGATTATTTTTTGGTTTTGACATTGTTCTGATTTATTTCACTTTCAGGATGTTCCTTAGTCTGTACTATAACATATTTTTAAATTCCTCATCAGATGACAACCTGCACCTAGGGCTTAATAAACTAGATTTAATAAGCACCTAGTTTGCCATGTTAGAGTGCTTTGTAATTTGATAAGCTTCCACACAGTTTATGCTCCCTACACCCATCTGAAGCCCCTATCCCTTCCTTTATATTCTTGATTTTTATATATTTTTAGTTTTTAATATAGCTTCTAACATTTCATCATTCTTTTTTAGATTTTTATTATCACTCTCGATATATATTTTTAGATCTTTTATACTTCTTTTCAATGACAGTACCCCACCCTCCCATGCTCATCTATGACTGCAATAAAGATTTAAGTTCCTGGGCTATGGTATGTTAAAATGAAGGCAATTAAAAAACAGATTGAAGGGCATAAACCCCATAAAATGGGTTCTTAACCTGGGGTCAGTGAACAGGTTTCAGGGGGTCAACTTGGATAGGAAAATAATTAGTTTTTTCATTTCTAATTAAAATTTTAAGATTGTCATTGAATGGATGATGTAGGCAACCAACTAATTTATGGCTTAGAACTCCAACATATCTGTTAACTTCAATGCATCTATCTAAAATTATTTTAACTTTTTAAAAATATTTTTGATAACTGGACAAGCATTATTAGTTTCCTCTGTAATTCAATCAATGTATTTTATTTCATGCATTCAAATAACTCTTCTGAGAAGGCATCCTTAGGTTTTCACCAGACTCTCAAAGGGGTCTGTGGCACAAAAGAGGTTAAGCAGCCCTGCATCAAAGGTTAGACTCTAATGCTAGTTACAATACTAATACTGTAATATCCTGTGGAGATGGCTGGTGGGATGATGGGTTGCCCCCCCACCAGCATCTTACAGATTTTTATAGGGCCAAAATTAGAGGAGGTTTTTTAGGGT